CACTTTCAGAGGCCAATCACAAGTCCCAGGTTGTGACCTGTTCTTCTGACCACCCAGCTATAAATGGGGATTCCCACAACCCATTCCTCAGGGTTGATAATTTTTCTAGAACTGTTCACAGAACTCCAGAAAGCACTTTACTTACTATGATCAGTTTATATAAAGGATAGAACTTGGGAACAGCCAAATGGAAGAGATGCACAGGGCGTGCTACATGGGAAGAGGCATAGAGCTTCCCTGGCCTCACCGAGATCACAACCTTCTTAGCACCTCAGTGTGTATACCACCCCAGGAGTTCTCCAAACCCAGTCATGTAGGGTTTTTATGGGGGCTTCATTACATAAGCATGACTGATTACATCTTAATCACTGATTAAGAACATTTCCATCTCCTTTGCCCCCCCCAGAAATAGGGAGTGAGGCTGGAAGTTCCGACCTTCTCATTACATACTTTCTTCCTCTGGCAAGCAGCCATCCTCTATGAGTTCCCTCATCAGCATAACTTCAGGCTTCTTATGGGGCACCAGGCTGGCTCAGTGGTAGAGCATATGACTCTTGATCTTAGGGTCTTGAGTTCAAGCCTCATGTTGGGCCTAGAGCTTACTTAAGAAAAAGGAGGAGCTTCTTAGGAACAACAAAAATGCTCTCCTTACTCCTATCATGCACAAAATGATAAGGATCTTAGAAGTTCTCTGCCAGGAACTGGGATGAAGATTAAATATATATATATATATCTTATTATATCACAATATCATAGCTAATTAATTTCAAAGGCAGCAGTGCCTATTATTTACCTTATAGCTAGGGGTGGTCATGTGATTTCCTCATGCCCTACTGTTTTATTAGTACCTGATTCACAGTGAATGCTTAAGAAGTATTTGTACTTCTTTTTTTTATTTTTTTAAAGATTTTATTTATTTATTTGAGAGAGAGACAGTGAGAGAGAGCATGAGCGAGGAGAAGGTCAGAGAGAGAAGCAGACTCCCCGTGGAGCCAGGAGCCCGGTGCAGGACTCGATCCCGGGACTCCAGGACCATGACCCGAGCTGAAGGCAGTCGTCCAACCAAGTGAGCCACCCAGGAGTCCCGTATTTGTACTTCTTAAGTGGAAATGGTGAAAAAAAAATTTTTTATGAAGAAAACAGGTTTATCAATGGAGTATTTCTAGTGGTTAAGACGGGGAGTGGATCAATCTGTAGAAATTGGACTACTTGAAGTTTGACACCCAAACTCCCTGTCAGAGAGACCAAAATGGCCTGCACTTAACAGGCATATAAATATGCTGAATGAATACGTGAACTTTCTTCTATGGGACATATACAAATTCTGATTCAACTGTGACAGCCAGTATATTAGGTACTATTGTATGCCACATCCTGTTTCATCTTTATAATAATTACATGAAGTAGGCAGAGTACTTCAGAATATAGGCAGAGATTATCAAGTGTGGGTTTAGGACTCCAGCAAAACTGAGGCACCCCAAACTTGGAGACCATTGATACCTAATATCTTATTCAAAAAAGAAAACCAGGAGTGCCTAGGTGGTGGCTCAGTCAGTTGAGTTTCTGACTCTTGGTTTCAGCTTCATGTCAGGACCTTTGAGATCATGACCTGAGTTGAAAAGAGTCTTTAACTGAGCCACCCAGGCACCCTCAAATAAATAAATCTTTTAAGGAAAAGATTTATTTATTTTATTTGAGAGAAAGAGAGCACACACATGTGGGGGGAGTGGCAGAGAGAGAGAATCTTCAAGCAGATTCCCCTCTAAGCACAGAGCCCCATGTGGGACCCAATCTCATGATCCTTGAGATCACGACCTAAGCAGAAACCAAGAGTCTACCGATCAACCCACTGAGCCAACCAGGTGCCCCAACAAATAAATCTTTAAAAAAAAATAGGGGCACGTTGGTGGCTCAGTCTGTAAACATCTAACTCTTGGGTTTTAGCTGGGGTCATGATCTCAGGGTCGTGAGACAGGGCCCCACATCAGGATCCATGATTCTCTCTCTCCCGCTGTCCCTACCTCACTTGAGATTGTGTGTACTCTCTCTCTCAAATAAATAAATAAAATCTTAAAAAAATAAAAAGGAACACCAGAGTATGAAAGCCGACACTGGAAAAATAAAAAATAAAAAAAAAAAATAAAGGACTTTTTCTATAATACATTCAGTACTGTTTGCACTATCTTTTGGAAAGTGCTTTGCATTATTAACAGCATCTAAAGCTCTTTACCTGGCTTCAGAAGATTTTGTGAGTCCTACTTACTGAACAATAAAACAAGACTCAGAGTGCTTAGCCTAGCTGCATTCATACAGTTATGGAGCCCCCTATGATGGTAGTCAATGTTTGTGATACATTGTATGTTCATGATGGCACACACCAATTTACCTTTTAAATTTCTGAATCTTATTGGGCCTTCTTTATTAGTTTGGAGTTTTAATCAAATAAAGCACACCTAACACCTAAAGTTAACCTAAGTGTGTTTTGATCCTTATTGTATTCTTAGTCCCTAGACCAGTATTCAGTACATCTATATTTTTAGTGACTGAAAGAATGAATGATGTGCAATCATCAGCCCACCTAGATGATTGTGCTTTGTATTAGTTTCAGGGTCAACCAAGGGAAAGTGAGAAGGAAATCAGGCAGATCAAGAAACTTCTCTGATGCCCTACTGAGATTGCCCGAATTCTTAAGACCAGGTCCTACAATGTCTCCACTTTTATGATCTTTAGATTGCTATTTTGAAAGCTGGGATCCTAGACTCCTTTTGCCATATATAAAGTGTGTCAGACAAAGGAGAGTGATTTAAGGGAATGTATCCTATAAGTCATTTAAGGAGTATTTCCTAAGAACTGATACTGACAGTAAAGGGGACAGGAGAAAGGCATGGTCTAAAGGGCCTACTTGTCTTTCTTCTTTATTGTTTTTCCTCCCTGCATGAAGAAGCAGGGAAACTAAATTTTAGTCTATGCTATCTCCATTACCTGTACTAGAGGATCTCAGTCATGGTGTGAATAAAACGCATCTGGAGAATTTAGAAATTCACCTTTCCAAGTTTTGTTTCGGGAGTCCCTGATCTTACAGGTGTGAGTAGACCCAGGGATCTGCTCCCTGGACCTGGTGGTCCAGCCACCCTCCTGTAAAAAAAGCCCCACTATCGTTATGCATATTTGGGGGGCGGAGATGAAAAAAATCTGAACTACAATCAAGTCTTTATTTCTGCCATCCTCACCACGACCTGGCCAATTCCTAAATTTGCCCTTATTCCTAAAACACCCACAGCCCCTAATCAAAATGGCACTCTGCTGGGTCTTAGCTTAACTTGTCTGTTCAAACCAGTTTACACAAAAGTGTGAATAAGGTTTAACTCCTTTAGCAGGTCACTTTCGGGGGGTGGGGGGAAGCATCTTAAGGTGTTAGAACACTTTCATTACACTGAAGTTTTGTTTCTTTGGTGGGGAATTAATCTGCAATACCTTTAGTCTAATTCGGTTGCTGACGGAATGCTGTCCACTTCCCTCTTCTGACTATTGAATCATTCCTGCTAGACTCATACTGTTCTTTGTGAAGCCTTCTTCGATAAACTTACCCACAGGGACGATCCCTTATGTCACCACCCTCCATTGCATGTTTCAGTGGTAACACCTACCATCTTGTAGTGGGATTGCCTAATTTAGTTTTGTAGCTCCAGTTCCAGAACAGTGCCTGCCAAATAGCAGGAGCTCAATAATTGTGGAACGAACGAATGAATGTCAAAGACTAGGCCGAGAGATTTTTTAAAAATCAATGTTGACTAAGAATCAAAACACGGAAATGTCAAGGGCTGAATGCCGGGCGTTGCAGGCCTAGAAAGAATAAAAATAACCCCCAACAGCACAGCGTCCTCTTAAAGGGATCACCTGTTCCATTTTCTCACATCACTTTCCAGCGTCTCCTGACACCCCAATTTCCCGCTCACTAACTCATTCCCTTCCCTACTGTGCACAGGTCAGGCAGGTAGCCTGGCTCAGCAGCTCTGATTGGTCGGCGATGATTTCATTGTTAAGACACATCCGGGCTTTTTCCCTCCCCGCAACACCTCCCCCAGAGCCCTGCGTTCCGAGCTTCCCTCTCCCGCGTTCGCCCCACCCGTCGGCTGAAGCAAAACAACTGCCTCTCCCCGGACCCCTTCTTATCCTTCCCTGCGCCATCCCTTCCCGTCTCTACGCCGAAGAGAGACGTTTATGTCCTCCAATGAGGGCCTAACAGGACTTTGTTAGCCAATCAGCAGCCAACCCTCTGTAACTCCGGGTGGGACTAGGCTTCCACACCTATGACCGGACAGCGCGTTGGCTCCTTTATGGCGCTTCTTTCACGCACGGCTTAGAGGTCAAAAATAAAGGGGCATGGTTCTCGTAGGACGGGAAGGAGCCGCACACACTCTGGATTTGACCGTTTTCGAAGACTAGCCAATCGCTATTTGGATACTTCCCCGCCTTTTGAGCGTTCATTTGAAAAAAGCCAGTGTGACGGACTTGGAAATTGGTTCAGTGACGGACACGCACGGAAAGCCAATGATTAAGGGTTCGGGTCACCCTTCGGTCCAATAAGAAAAGAGAATCGCTAGGGCTCGGTCTTTGCGAGGCGGAGTGCAGGTGGGCGTTATTTGATTGATGGCGATCTCTACTTATGGCTGTTAGGGTAGGTTGGTCCCTAACGCCCAGAGGCGGGGCTGAGTGAAGTAAATGGTAATGAAGGGTTGGATCTCACTCAGTGGGCGGTGTTTGATGGATAGTTGACCTTGCCAATTGAAGGTGGTCACTGATGCCCAATGGGAAATTAGGACCTGAGAGGCGGGGCATTGTGGGCGGGGAAAGCTAAGTACCGAGGTACAGAGCAGCCGAAGTGGGAGGGAGGGTGGTGATTGACGGCCCGACTAGCCAACCGAATGCAGTGAGAGGCTGCACCGTCCCAATGGGTGGGAGCTGGGGGCGGGGCTCGCCGAGGGGCGGGGAGGACAGGGTGCGGGGAGGGGGTTGCAGAAGGAGCGGAGCGGCTGCTGCTCAATGGCGGAAAAGCCGCCGGTGCTCTGACCGCCTGGTCCCCCTAGCAGTTGCGGGGGAGTTTCCTGCCGGCGCGGCTGGAGTCTCTGTTTCTCAGGGTTCGGTGGCTGGAAGATGCTCCAGAGAGACGAGGCTGCGGCGGAGGAGGTGGCGGCGGCCGAATCGGCAGCGGCGCTAGGGTGGAGAGAAGGCGGCAGCGGCGGCGGCGGCGGCGTGCGGGGCCCGACGGTGTAAACAGCCCCGGAGGCGGCGGAGGCGGTGGCCGAGACCCTGACGGGGAAGCGGCGGCTGAGGCAGGGTCGCGCCTCGGTCGGAAGCCCGAGCTGAGTGCATCAGGGGTTCTCTGCGGCGGGCGAGAGCGGACGCCCTAGACCTCGCTTCCCTCCCTCGCCCCAGGTAAGGCCGCTCGGCGCCCCGCCGCAGGGGAAACGGCTCGAGGGTACCGCCGAGGCCCCACACTGTTTTCGGGGTGCCGCCGGCCCACGGTCGCGGGCCCTGCTTGCCTTATCCCCGCCTCTTCTGCCGTGGAGCCTGGGGGAGCAGAACGCCGGGCCCGGCTCCTGGGTAGGCCCCTTCCCCAGCCGCCGCCTCCGCGCTCGGCCGAGTCTGGGAGAGGCTCGGGGCAGGGAATTTTACTTTGCTCCAGCGCCTGGAAGTAAACTGCTTTCCCCCGTTCTCTTTTCCAGTACGCGAGCATCTCTTTGAAACCGAAACACCTGGGCTACCCCAGGCCTTAACTCATCCCTTCCTGGATCGTGCTTATTCTAAAACCTTACCTTTCCCATTTGTTTCCTCATCAGTTTCTGCCCCCCTCTGCGCTCCACTTCACTTCCTTGTTAAATCTTTTCTCGCTCTGTGCGTCTCACCACCACCTACCTTCTTAGTGGCTTTAAATCGCTTCTTAGCCGACGCCGGGCTTCTCTTCCCTTTCTTCTCTCCAGCGATCCTTTCCGGATGTCATTCTTTTTAAGAGAAGTTTTTAAATGAAACTTCTACCGCCAGCCATCCAAATCTTCAGACACCCCTCAAGAGTTGACTGACTAGCTTTTTGCAGCAGATTAGTTTTTTTTTTTTTAACTGAGCCTAATATCCTTAAAAAAAAAAAAGAAAAGAAAAAGAAAAAAACAAAACAAAACAACAACAAAAAAACCAGGTTGTATTCTTAAACGTCAGATGTGAAAATGACACCGAGGTAATTTTAAAAACGAGGGGCTCAGTGAATGTTGAAAGTAGTTATTGCATTTTTTAAGTTGTCTGACCTCTAATGTCGGATTTAGCAGATCTAGAACATTTGCCCATCTTATTTGGCAAAACTGCTTCTTAAGCATTTGATAGCTGGCCCAGATTCATCTCTATTCAAGTCAGCTTAAAAACACCGTGAAAACTTCAAAAAGAAGATATTTTATGAACTAACTAGGAAGCTGTTTTCATGAAGTCACAGTTAAAGACCTTTTAAAATAGGCTCCACATGTTTAATGTATCAAAATAAAGTTGGCAGGAGTCTTGTAAAAGGATTATTTAGGAATTTGAGTAGTCTTAGTGATACGTAGCTATTTTGGGAAAAACATTCTTTTTCTGTTAACAAACGTTTACAACTGTGATGTGAGAATTACTGAGGTTTATTGTGGGATTAACACAGGAACTCATTTTATTTGAGCTACTGCACGATGTACAAGTGGTAGATTGTTCGGGTCAGATAGTGTAAGTCCGTCTGTTCTGGGAGGTGGAGAAACATGCCATCCACACTGACTGTTAATGGACATTATTTCATTTACTTTCTCTGTTGTGCAATAGCAAAGTTCCTAGTGTTGGCCTCCTTTTTAATAGAGCATTTCTAAATAGAGACAGGTTATTCTAATTATTATAGTCTTTTCCAAATATGAAGTTAAACTATTAAAATGGAAATTTTTAAAGAAATATTTTTGTAGGCTTCTTGAATGGGCAATGTGTTGTTTCAGTTGAACTTTTAAAAGTTAGTATTTAGAACAGTTTTTTTGGTCGACATTTTTTTTTTTTTTCAGGATAATTCTGATTTTTCCTGTGCTTTTTTGTTTCTCTCTTGAATTATTTTCTTTTAATGGTGTTTGTGTTTTCCCCTTTCATTTAGTTTTGCTCTCATAAAGTCTTATCACAGTTTCTACAGTGGCTCTCTATGTTGCTTTATCAACATAAAATAGTATTTTTATGTGATCTTTCATACCCGCTAGTTAAGATCTCCCAGTTCTTGTACATTATCCTTTGAATTTCTTTATGTTGTAATCATTTTCTTAGAAGTGACCAGTGAAGCTTTCAACACCTGTTTTCTCATACCGGGTGTCTGATTTCTGTGAAGACCCCAGGAATGGGTGAAAGCTTTTAAAGTTTGTCTGATAGTCGTGGCAATAAATATTATTTTATGTAAGTAATTAACATGTTCTAATTACCAAATCCCTTAAGATTACATCATCTGAAGGAATGGTATGTCTAAATAGCTGTGCTTCTAAGAATATCTGATTCACAAGTTAAAAAGTTCAGAAAAAGTGGTTTTCTCGTGAAAATTTATTTTCCTATCGTACATTTTTTACGAAGTCTTTTGAATTAAAATTTGATGCTGATAGATTCTTGGCACTCTTGGAAGTGTAGAATTTGCCATAGTGTAGTTCAGTGATTGTGGAGATGCATTAACAATTGTTTTGCCATTGGCTCAGTTTTTAAACATGCCCTTGTAAATGAGTCGGTAAACATTTCTTTTATTACACATGATACTGACAGTGAATCTCCTCCCCTTGGTGTTAGTTACACATATTATCTACATTGTATGAAAACTTGTATGTTACATGTAACTATTTTAAAGTATCTTGTGACATTACCTAGGCTAAAAGTAGTAAAATAGTATAATTCTAACTCCATAGTAGTCTTTCATAAGATGTAAGTGCTTTCATAAGATAAAGTGAATAAAATTAACTTATTAAAATATAACGTATTTTACTTTTTCTGTGAACTATGCCTTTCACAGTTCACTGATTTTAAGAAAAAGTAAGTTGCGAAAGAACTGACAGTGTCAGAGTTAGAATAAACTTTCTAAATTCCAGAATTTGAATAACAAAATTTATTCAAGTAATACTAAACATAAAATATAAAATTATGGTTGGTGGTAAGATAATTTGGGGGAATATGGGTACTTCTGGATATCCATTGTGTTTTTTCCTACATTGTATTTGAGTCTTCTTATTTTTTTCTTAGCTAATTTCAGAATTTGGGTTGAAACCAAATAATGTCTTAGTAGCTTTAAAGTTTTATGATAGAAATATACTTTATATATTATATCAGTGGTATTGCAGATTAAGGGAATTGACTGTCTATGAGGTAAAATTCTCAGATACTAGGTAGACCCTGGAAATGTAATCTATTTTCCATCCCACTGTTTTGTACTCAGACTAAATGGTGAAGGGAAATAGGGTAGATTTGGGGAATATTGGTTTTTGTAGTTTTTGCTTGACTTTAAAATTTGTAAAATGCAGGGTCTGTCATCTTCCAGCAACTGATCTAACAAGTATAGGTGAAGAAAAAAGTCCTTCATAATCTTTGTTTTATCCTTATTTCTGTTGATGATACTTGTTTATAACAAAACATTGATTTAAAAGAAAATAACTTGATCTTCTAGAGTAATTTAAGTATGCTAATATCTCTGATTAGCCATTTTGAAATCTTTTTTCAAATGAAACATTTTAATGTGGTTTAACTTCTTTGTGGAAGCTGGACTTGAGTTACACTTTTTATTTATTTATTTATTTTTTTAAGATTGTATTTATTTGACGGAGACAGAGAGAGGGAGCACGAGCAGGGGGGAGTGGGAGAGGGAGAAGCAGGCTTCCCGATAAGCAGTGAGCCCAGGGCTGGGCCGGAGCTCAATGTGGGGCTGGATCTCAGGACCACCTGAGCCGAAGGCAGATGCTTGACAGCTGAGGCACCCAGGTGTCCGAATTACACTTTTCAGTGTTTAAGCTATATCCTCTCCTTCCCCCAAAGAAAACCACCATTTAGACTAACCTGAGTTATTTGATGAGGTAGTTGAATCAATATTATGATATTATCAATATTATGATAAAAAGGGGTGCCTGGGTGACTCAGTGGGTTAAGCCTCTGTCTTTGGCTCAGGTCATGATCTCAGGGTCCTGAGATCCAGCCCCACATCGGCTCTCAGCTCTGCAGGGAGCCTGCTTCCCCTTCTCCCTCTGCCTACTTGTGATCTCTCTCTCTCTCTGTCAAATAAATACAATCTTTTTTTTTTAAAGATTGTATTTATTTGACAGAGATCACAGGTAAGCAGAGAGGCAGGCAGAGAGAGGAAGGGAAGCAGGCCGAGCCGAGAGCTGATGTGGGGCTCGATCCCAGGACCCGGAGATCATGACCTGAGCTGAAGGCCAGAGGCTTAACCCACTGAGCCACGCGGGTGCCCCAAATAAATACAATCTTAAAAAAAAAAAAAAAAAGTCTTTACTAAATTCTTGATGGGATGAATTTTTCCATAAGTGTAGTCTATATACGGTAGTTTAATTTCTCAGATTTTATAAAGATCATGAAATTTTGTTTTTAGCATCATCTAGCAGCCTAGAAAACAAATACCATAAGGTAGCTCATTTTTTTTTTAATTTTCATTCAAATTTCAGGGTGTGTTATTTCTCCCTTTCAGTTTAATGTTAATAACAGACATAAACATTTTGCTCCTAATTATGGTAAGTCATGACATAGAGGAGTTCTCGAGTAAATATTTTTCTTTTTTAGCTACAGCTGACTTGTGACCACATCTACAATATCTTCTTATTTCTTGGCATGACATATACCTTTTATAGTGATACCCTTTGTATGTTATAACTGATTTAACTTTAAGAACCTAGTAGTTTAGGGGTGCCTGGATAGCTCAGTTGTTAACTGTCTGCCTTTGGCTTGGGTCAGGATCTCAGGGTCCTGGGATCGACCCCGCATCGGGCTTCCCGTTTGGCAGTAAGCCTGTTTCTCCCTCTTCTACTCCCCCTGCTTGTGTTCCCTCTCTCACTGTGTCTCCTATTGTCAAATAAATAAAGTCTCTAAAAAAAGAACCTAGTAGTTTAACAGTCAGTTGTGGTATTTTAACTTATTCATATGTTTAGGCAAATTTAACATAGTTTGTAACATTTAAAGCACAGTTTACCAATTTGAAACTTTTTTCATTTACTTGTTTAATATTTACTAAAAATGGACTCAGGTTTCTCTCTCTCTCTTTTTTTTTTTTTGAGTATGTTGAAATATCAGTATGAAATTACTGGCTTTAAATTGTTATCTTTCTGGAAATTAAAGACCTCGAAGTTTGGAAACATAACCCTTGTTGGAAAACTTGTTTTACATTTCCTTTGAACGAAAGAAGACTATTAATATTA